ATTAGCTGGTTCCTCACATCTAATCTTCACTTCGTATTTTAAGGAATTCGTACTTAATAACCCTTTTCATTGTTATAATTAAGTGCAAAGTTAAGTTTAAGAAATAAAAATGTAATTAAAAATTGTACCTCTTTAAGTTATCTAGAATAAAAATATAAAAGTGATGAATGTAAGTGAAGTGTTATATGCAGGTCCAAATATAATCCAGATAAGTTGAAAAACTAGATGAAGTTTTGTTTTAGAATTTGGAAGATAGTACCTCTTTAAGTTCTCTAGAATAAAAATATTAAGGTGATGAATGTAAGTGTTATATGTAGGTCTAAATATAATCCAGATAAGTTGAAAAACTAGATGAAGTTTTGTTTTAGAATTTGGAAGATATGATAAGGATGAGTAAATAAAGAGTTAAGAATGAAAGAGAAAGCAATTCAATCAAAAGGAAATGGATAAGGCGTAGCTAAGGTGAAGAAAAGAAGAACTTTTACGTCGGGCGCCAAATTGTCGTAAAGCGACAATTAAAAACTAAATAACCTAACCTAACTACAACAAAACAACCAAAAATAAAATAAATTATTTAAAAATTTGAAAAGATTTACAGTTTCTTTTATAAAAAAAGGTATGAAGGTGATGATGGGCTGTAATGATTATAGTGATTTACAATATTATTAAAAAAAAATAACAAAAATAAAGATACTGCAACGAAGTATGCACAGGCTATGCCTATGATAGGTGCACAGCGCCTGCTCTAGGTACACGCAGAATCTGGAGAAAGCACATGCAGCGTCTGGAGAAGGTACGGTGCACAGCGCCTGCTCTAGGTACACGCAGAATCTGGAGAAAGCACATGCAGCGTCTGGAGAAGGTACACGCAGCGCTTGGAGTAGGCCCACGCAACGCCCGGAGCAGATACACGCAGCACCCGGAGTAGACACGTAGCGTCTGGAGTAGGTACACGTGGCGCTTGAAGTAGGCAAACACAACGTCCGGAGTAGACACACACAGCGTCCGGAGTAGACACGCAGCGTCTGGAGTAGGAACACGCAGCGCTTGAGACAAACACGCTCAGCGGCCGAAGATAGCGCGGGCACTAATAGGTGGAGGCGTAGGCGTGGCTAGGCGACGACTTCAGGAGAAGGCTTGCAAGATCCCGAGGCAGTGCGGATAAAGCCTTTAAGAGGTGCTTCTCGTATCAAAGCTGAAGTCAGGACCTCTATCGGCCGATTCTTCGGCTTTTATACTTTTTGACGGATCTGGGATAAGAACGAGAAATTATTTGAAATTATTTAAATTAAAAGCAAATTTTTGTAAATGGCCAAGAAGAAAAGAGTATTTTTGAAGTAAAAACATCAGGCCGGTAACAATATTTGAATAAAAATTGCCATGACAACCAGATAAACAACGATGTCAAAACATGTCAAATTTTGGTTTTAGGCTCGTAATAGAGAAACGGCAAGATTTAAGTGAAAAATGAGATATTATTTATATAGGAAAAAAGGTAGCGCAACAGTGCGCACGAAGCCCGAAATTGCAGAGTTACGGAGAACTAAATAAATGATCGAAAAAGGTAGACTCCATTGACACCGATTTAAAAAGTGCTGATAACGTGAAAATACGAAGTGAAAATGATTTGTTATTGTGTTCTTATGAATTAAAAATATTACAGGATCCTATGGAAATAAAGGTGATGCAAAATATCCAGTTTTGAGGTGAATGTAGAAAATCAAAAACAGAATGGAAAAATAAAAATAAAATAGTGTAAAATGATATGTAAGTATGTATGTAAGCATAACACTACAGGGTTTTTTTACAAGTGGTTATTGGTTGAAAATAAAATTTTAAATTAATCATAAATTTTGTTTGATTTCCCAAAAACATTAGTTATAGTATACTATATAATACAAAATTGGTTCAACAGAAAAACAATTTTTAAAAATGTTGACGACGAATGATAGAATTTTTAATATTGAAGAATACAAATGTCCAAAATACAATGATTTGTTAAAGATTGATTTCCCAAAAACATTAGTTACAAAATTTATGATTAATTTAAAATTTTATTTTCAAGCAATAACCACTTGTAAAAAACCCACACTTCGTCACAAGAACAATGTAAAATTTTGTGATTATTTTTTGCAAATATATGATTATTACACACATAACGTTTGTTTAAATTTATGACATTTACCAAATCATTGTATTTTGGACATTTGTAATCTTCAATATTAAAAATTCTATCATTCGTCGTCAACATTTTTAAAAATTGTTTTTCTGTTGAACCAATTTTGTCTAATGTTTTTTGGAAATCAAACAAAATTTATGATTAATTTAAAATTTTATTTTCAAGCAATAACCACTTGTAAAAAACCCACACTTCCTCACAAGAACAATGTAAAATTTTGTGATTATTTTTTTGCAAATATATGATTATTACACACATAACGTTTGTTTAAATTTATGACATTTACCAAATCATTGTATTTTGGACATTTGTATTCTTCAATATTAAAAATTCTATCATTCGCCGTCAACATTTTTAAAAATTGTTTTTCTGTTGAACCAATTTTGTATTATATAGTATACTATAACTAATGTTTTTGGGAAATCAAACAAAATTTATGATTAATTTAAAATTATATTTTCAAGCAATAACCACTAGTAAAAAACCCACACTTCGTCACAAGAACAATGTAAAATTTTGTGATTATTTTTTGAAAATATATGATTATTACACACATAACGTTTGTTTAAATTTATGACATTTACCAAATCATTGTATTTTGGACATTTGTATTCTTCAATATTAAAAATTCTATCATTCGTCGTCAACATTTTTAAAAATTGTTTTTCTGTTGAACCAATTTTGTCTAATGTTTTTTGGAAATCAAACAAAATTTATGATTAATTTAAAATTTTATTTTCAAGCAATAACCACTTGTAAAAAACCCACACTTCGTCACAAGAACAATGTAAAATTTTGTGATTATTTTTTGCAAATATATGATTATTACACACATAACGTTTGTTTAAATTTATGACATTTACCAAATCATTGTATTTTGGACATTTGTATTCTTCAATATTAAAAATTCTATCATTCGTCGTCAACATTTTTAAAAATTGTTTTTCTGTTGAACCACCTTTGTATGCGATCACTTCGTCTTTGCACAAATTTCTAATATACCAATTTAATATGGGAATGATGTTCTCTTGTTTGTAGGTACATTTTAATTCTTCGGTCACATCAAAATATGGAATGCCGTGCACGTGTATTTCACAATAACGAACAGTTTTTTTGTCTTTTGGCGACAAATAATTGAAAGGATAACTTGGCTGAAACAAATAATGATCGATAAACGAATCATTTTTATTAGATAGTTTTACGTCTAGAATAGCCATTTCTCTACATTGAAAATGTTTATGAGGACATGTAATGTAAAATCCGTCTATGTCTATGATGTATCTAATATTTTTTTAGATTTTGTGTCATTTTGAACCAAAATGTTAAAAGTATTTACACGTGACTAAAATATGTTTGTTCCAACAAACTTCACATAACAATTCATTCTTCATTACTTCCCATCACCCCATTTCTTCCTTCTGCTCTTTTCTTCCTGTAATTTAAGAAAACAGAATCACATTCACTAATGATCAACTAATGACTGTCATTGTTAAAAAAGTATTTTTTAACTTTTTACTTTCTGCTATTGTCTTTGTATTTATGGCTAGGAAATGTCCGCGGCGCGGTCTCAATGCGTGTTGGCGAACTTCACATGCTTTCGAAATTTTCTCAGACATGCAGGTTTCCTCACGATGTTTTCCTTCGCCGCCGAGCACGTGGTAAATCAGCACTTAAAATTGCAATTAACAATTTAAGTGGTGTCGGCGGGGATCGAACCCGCGTTACATACTGTAAAATTTACAGCTTGCGCTAACCATCTGAGCTACCACGGCTTAATCATATACACACACAATATTTAAATATAATTTGTTAACACTAAATCATACACACGTAAGAAAATAACAGAAAGAAAAGTAAGTGTGTCAATAGAATAAACACTTAAAATTGAAATTAACAATTTAATTGGTGTCGGCGGGGATCGAACCCGCGTTACATACTGTAAAATTTACAGCTTGCGCTAACCATCTGAGCTACCACGGCTTAATCATATACACACACAATATTTAAATATAATTTGTTAACACTAAATCATACACACGTAAGAAAATAACAGAAAGAAAAGTAAGTGTGTCAATAGAATAAACACTTAAAATTGCAATTAACAATTTAATTGGTGTCGGCGGGGATCGAACCCGCGTTACATACTGTAAAATTTACAGCTTGCGCTAACCATCTGAGCTACCACGGCTTAATCATATACACACACAAAATATTTAAATATAATTTGTTAACACTAAATAATAATAATAATAATAAGGTGGTCTGCCGACCGAAATTATTCCTGTAGTCGTCTCTGCAAACGGGCTAATCCCAGTCAGCCTCTCGGGTCATCTGAGGCGGCTGGGACTACGTGGCGGACCGCTCCAGGTTCAAATGCAGAAGGCGGTGCTCCTCGATACCGCCCGCATCGTCCGCCGGTTTCTTTCCCTTTCCCCCTAACCCTCGGCCGTTTGGTCTCCCCCTGCCGAGGGCCTCCATCTGGTTGGGCTTTTATTTATTTATGTACTTTTATATTTATTTTATGTTATTGATATTTATGTATATTTATTTTTTCATTTTCATTTATAATTATATATTTATAGAACCCAACCAGATGAGAAAACTATATAGATACCCCATTAATAATTAAACACCATCCCCTGACGTAACAGTTAAGTGACAAAACTGCTACGTCAACGCAGTCAGTCAGCGCCTTGCGAGAGGTGTGAGCGCCGTGCCGCGGCAGAATTTAGGGTGCAGAGGCCCGTTTGTGCTTATGGCTACACACGAAACGGTGCCGGGCCTGGGCGTCTCCCGTTAATGGACGCCCAAATAATGGATGATGGATAAAAAGATAGTGCGCAACGGGCCGCTGCCTGGGGGTCGCCGGGGCGCGTCTGGAGCTGGCGCTGGACGCGGCAGCATGCGGGCCGCCAGCCGAGCGCGAGGAGCTGCACGGTCATCTACCAGCCCTCCGCATCCATCATCCCCACCAGAAGGCTTGGTGTCGGCTGGGTCTTCTCGGACTCAGCAAGCGGCACCCGCCGCTGGTGGAGCACGTCGCATGCGTTGGTCACAAGAAATGAATGCAAACGCACTGCGGGCGTACTTTAGGGCAAAAGGGGAAGAAACTGGATGTTTGGCGTATCGGGCTAGGATGCATCGTCTTTTTGCTGAGCTGGAGCCATCTTTAATCGTCACAGAGCAAAACCTGGCAGACCGAGTTCGGTATATCTTGCGCTCAAATATATTTGATGTCGCCGAACTCGAACGGCTACGACGTGAGGCTGTTCCCTCGTCGGATGAGAATGCTACGGCTGAGGATGCGGCGCCACAAATGGTAGAGCAACCCGCAAACGTGGATGCCGCCGTGAATACCCCAGTTGTGGTTGATTCAAACGATGATGGAACAGTCGCCCAGGAACTGGAATTAGAGCATATGAGGAGTATATTGGAAGAGGCGATTGTGGAAACGCGCAGTACGCCTCTCGAAAATCGACCGCGACTTCCCCGCATAGCCCTAAGCAAGCGGAATCGGGCTGTCGTGAGGGCTCTGAACCCAATGCTGGTTACCTATTTGGAAGCCAGCCGGGACCTTTGCGAGACGGACTCAATTCTTTTTGGCGCCGCGCTGGCAGTCTGCCGTATCATAGGCGCCAAGGTTTCCACGGCTGGACGCGCTACTGGCCATAGTAGCGCTATCCCAGCATGGAGAAGAAGAATTGAGGAACGTATCGCAAAGGCTAGAGCTCTCATCGGCAGACTGATATGCTTCAGATCAGGCAACAACAGGCCAAGAATTGTGCGCACCGTCAGGATGGCGTTTGCTGGGACAAATGTCAGTTTGTCCCAGCCGGATATAACGCAAAAACTGACGGAGCGCATAGATGATCTGAAGCAGAGAATCGCTGCTTGGGGAAAGCGGATTCGGCGATATACCGAGAGGTCGACACGGTTCAACCAGAATCGTCTCTTCCAGAGTGATCAGAAGAGGCTCTATGAATCATTGGAGCGACCAATGGTAAGTGGAACGGGTCCAGCACCGAATCAGGCCGACACTGTAGCATTCTGGCGCGGCCTGTGGTCAGAGCCCGTAAACCACAGCGAGGGCCCTTGGACGGAAGTTGTGGCGAGTCAGTGTGCGGGTATTACGCCCATGGACCCCGTCATCATAACGCCGGATGACGTAGCTGAGGCGGTTCGTAGGGCCCCGAACTGGAAAAGTCCGGGGCTTGACGGGCTGCATCACTACTGGCTGAAGGGGTTCATGGTGTGTCACTCTGTGCTCGCCCGACAGTTTCAAGAGGCTCTCAACCAGAAGTCGCTCCCAAGCCTCTTCACTACTGGGATCACTCATTTAGTTCCTAAAGACCAGGGTACCACAGACCCGAGCAAATACCGCCCCATCACGTGTCTACCGACCATATACAAGACACTAACATCCATTTTGAGCGCGAGAATCACTTGTCACCTGGACTCAAATCAGGTGATGTCGCGCGCTCAAAATGGATGTCGGGGCGGTGGTCGTGGAACCAAGGAACCACTCCTCATTGACGCGGTCATTGGCAAAGTGGTGAAACGCAACCGTCGGAACTTCTCCGCCGCCTGGATAGACTACAGAAAGGCATTCGACTTGGTGCCCCATACATGGCTAAAGAGAGTCCTCGAGCTGTACAAGATAGACTGTACAGTTAGAGACTTCCTCGAGCAGTGTATGGGGCAGTGGAGTACGATCCTTTGTCATCTAGGCGAGCGGATGATGGCTGCGGAGAACCACATAAGGATAAGAAGGGGTATCTTCCAGGGCGATTGTCTGAGTCCAATCTGGTTCTGCCTCTCTCTGAACCCTCTCAGTACCTTACTGGAGGGCTCCGGGAGGGGATTTCAGCTACGGAAAGGAGGGACAAAAGTGACCCACCTTTTCTATATGGATGACCTCAAGTTATTCGCCTCCAGTCGCTCCCATCTTATGGAGTTGCTAAACATCACTTGTGAATTTAGCAATTCCATTGGAATGGAGCTGGGGACGGATAAGTGTGCGGTCCTCCATGTTGAAAGGGGAAGGGTTGCTAACTCTGAGGGCGTAGACTTATCTATGCCCGTCAACTTAAGGACCCTTTCCGAGGCTGAAACATACCGATACCTGGGTATGTCACAAAACATCGGTATCGATGAGACTGGTATGAAACAGTCAGTTTGCGACGTGTTTTATGCACGCTTGACCAAAGTGCTTAACAGCCTTTTGTCCGGTGTGAATAAGGCACACGCATATAACGGCTGGGTCATGCCTGTCCTCATGTATACCTTTGGCATACTCAGGTGGACTCAGACTGAACTTAACGCCCTGGATAGAAAAGTCCGCACTACAATGACGTCCCATAGGATGCATCATCCGAGATCGTCGGTAATGAGGCTGTACTTGCCGCGGAAGCATGGTGGTCGTGGCTTCTTGAGCGCGCTCACCATGCATAATCGCGAAGTGTGCAGCCTCCGTGATTACTTCCTGGCGAGATCGGATGATCCATTCTATAAGGACGTCATTTCTTGTGATAAAGGACTTACCCCTCTATCCTTAGCCAACGAGCAATGGCAAGACCCGGCAGTGCAGAGCATTTCCGACCGGGAGACCGTATGGAAGGAGAAGGAGCTCCACGGGAGGTTCTACAAGGCTCTACATGAGCCTTTCGTAGACACAGTAGCCTCCCTCCACTGGCTACGCTTTGGTGATCTCTTCGGGGGAAACCGAGGGTTTTGTCTGTGCAATACAGGATCAGGTTATTAAGACCAACAACTATCGGAGATACATCCTAAAGGATGGCACCGTCGACATCTGTCGAGCTTGTCGCCATCCCGGTGAGTCACTTAGGCATGTTATCTCCGGTTGTTCGGCGCTTTCTAACTCTGAGTACTTGCACAGGCACAACCTAGTAGCCAGAATTCTACACCAGGAGCTCGCTCTGAAATACGGTCTCGTGGATCGGAAATTGCCGTATTACAAGTACTTGCCGGAAGCCGTGCTCGAAAATGATCGCGCCAGGCTCTATTGGGACCGGGCCATCATCACAGACAGGACTATTCTTGCGAATAAGCCTGATATTGTGCTGATGGACCGGGCACAGTCAAGGATATTTTTGGTCGACATTACCATTCCGTATGACGAGAACCTCGTGAAAGCCGAAACAGACAAGCAAACAAAATATCTGGACCTGGCTCACGAGGTGACCGACATGTGGGGTGGTCTGCCGACCGAAATTATTCCTGTAGTCGTCTCTGCAAACGGGCTAATCCCAGTCAGCCTCTCGGGTCATCTGAGGCGGCTGGGACTACGTGGCGGACCGCTCCAGGTTCAAATGCAGAAGGCGGTGCTCCTCGATACCGCCCGCATCGTCCGCCGGTTTCTTTCCCTTTCCCCCTAACCCTCGGCCGTTTGGTCTCCCCTGCCGAGGGCCTCCATCTGGTTGGGCTTTTATTTATTTATGTACTTTTATATTTATTTTATGTTATTGATATTTATGTATATTTGTCTTTTCATTTTCATTTATAATTATATATTTATAGCACCCAACCAGATGAGAAAACTATATAGATACCCCATAATAATAATAAATGGCGTAGGGAAGTGACGACCCCATCGCCCGCTGACGTGACGGTTATGTGACAAAACCGCTACGTCCGCGCAGTCAGTCAGCACCTTGCCAAGAGGTGTGAGCGCCGTGCCTCGGCAAAAATTGATGGTGCAAGGGCCCGCTTGTGCATATGGCCTCACCATGAAACGGCGCCGGGTCTGGGCGTCTCCCGTTAAATGACGCCCTGTATGGATGATGGAACATAGAAGATTGCGCAAAGGGCCGCTGCCTGGAGGTCGTCAGGGCGCGTCTGGAGCTGGCGCTGGACGCGACAGCATGCGAACCGCCAGCCGAGCGCGAGGTGCTGCACGACCACCCAGCAGCCCCTCGCATCCATCATCCCCACCAGCTTGCTTGGTGTCGGCAGGGTCTTCGCGGGCCCAGCAATCGGCACCCGCCACTGGTGGAGTACGCCGCATGCGATGGACCATCAATATGAATTCAAACGCATTGCGGGCGTATTTTAGGGCGAAAGGGGGAGAAATTGGAGGTTTCGCGTATCGGGCTAGGATGCATCGTCTTTTTACTGAGCTGGAGCCATCTATTACTGTCACCGAGCAAAACCTGGCAGACCGAGTTCGGTATATCTTACGCTCAAATATATTTGATGGCGCCGAACTCGAACGGCTACGACGTGAGGCTGTTCCCTCATCGAATGAAAACGCTACGGCTGAGGGTGCGGCGCCACAGTTGCAGAGCAACCCGCACACGTGGATGCCGCCGAGAATACCCCAGTGGTTGCTGATTCAAATGATGATGGAACATTCGCCCAGGAACTGGAAATAGAGCAAATGAGGAGTACATTGGAAGAGGCGATTGTGGAAACGCGCAGTACGCCTCTCGAAAATCGACCGCGACTTCCCCCGCATAGCCCTAAGCAAGCGGAATCGGGCTGTCGTGAGGGCTCTGAACCCAATGCTGGTGACCTATTTGGAAGCCAGCCGGGACCTTTGCGAGACGGACTCAATTCTCTTTGGCGCCGCACTGGCAGTCTGCCGTATTATAGGCGCCAAACTTTCCACGGCTGGACGCACTACTGGACAAAGTAGTGCTATCCCAGCCTGGAGAACAAGAATTGAAGAACGTATCGCAAAGGCTAGGGCCCTCATCGGCAGACTGATATGCTTCAGGTCAGGCAATACCAGGCCAAGGATTGTGCGCACCGTCAGGATGGCGTTTGCTGGGACAAATGTTAGTTTGTCCCAGCCGGATATAATGCAAAAACTGACGGAGCGCATAGACGACCTGAAGCAGAGAATCGCTGCTTGGGGAAAGCGAATTCGGCGATATACCGAGAGGTCGACACGGTTCAACCAGAATCGTCTCTTCCAGAGTGATCAGAAGAGGCTCTATAAATCATTGGAGCGACCAATGGTAAGTGGAACGGGCCCAGTACCGAATCAGGCCGACATGGTCGCATTCTGGCGCGGCCTGTGGTCAGAGCCCGTAAACCACAACGAGGGCCCTTGGACGGAAGTTGTGGCGAGTCAGTGTGCGGGTATTACGCCCATGGACCCCGTCACCATAACGCCGGATGACGTAGCTGAGGCGGTCCGTAGGGCCCCGAACTGGAAAAGTCCGGGACTCGACGGGCTGCATCACTACTGGCTGAAGGGGTTCGTGGTGTGTCACACTGTGCTCGCCCGACAGTTTCAAGAGGTTCTCAACCAGAAGTCGCTCCCGAGCCTCTTCACTACTGGGATCACCCATTTGGTTCCTAAAGGCCAGGGTACCACAGACCCGAGCAAATACCGCCCCATCACGTGTCTACCGACCATATATAAGACACTAACATCCATTTTGAGCGCGAGAATCACTCGTCACCTGGACTCAAATCAGGTGATGTCGCGCGCTCAAAATGGATGTCGGGGCGGCGGTCGTGGAACCAAGGAACCACTCCTCATTGACGCGGTCATTGGCAAAGTGGTGAAACGCAACCGTCGGAACTTCTCCGCCGCCTGGATAGACTACAGAAAGGCATTCGACTCGGTGCCCCATACATGGCTAAAGAGAGTCCTCGAGCTGTACAAGATAGACTGTACAGTTAGAGACTTCCTCGAGCAGTGTATGGGGCAGTGGAGTACGATCCTTTGTCATCTGGGCGAGCGGATGATGGCTGCGGAGAACCACATAAGGATAAGAAGGGGTATCTTCCAGGGCGATTGTCTGAGTCCAATCTGGTTCTGCCTCTCTCTGAACCCTCTCAGTACCTTACTGGAGGGCTCCGGGAGGGGATTTCAGCTACGGAAAGGAGGGACAAAAGTGACCCACCTTTTCTATATGGATGACCTCAAGTTATTCGCCTCCAGTCGCTCCCATCTTATGGAATTGCTAAACATCACTTGTGAATTTAGCAATTCCATTGGAATGGAGCTGGGGACGGATAAGTGTGCGGTCCTCCATGTTGAGAGGGGTAGGGTTGCTAACTCTGAGGGCATAGACTTATCTATGCCCGTCAACTTAAGGACCCTTTCCGAGGCTGAAACATACCGATACCTGGGTATGTCACAGAACATTGGTATCGATGAGGCTGGTATGAAACAGTCAGTTTGCGACGTGTTTTATGCACGCTTGACCAAAGTGCTTAACAGCCTTTTGTCCGGTGTGAATAAGACACACGCATATAACGGCTGGGTCATGCCTGTCCTCATGTATACCTTTGGCATACTCAGGTGGACTCAGACTGAACTTAACGCCCTGGATAGAAAAGTCCGCACTACCATGACGTCCCACAGGATGCATCATCCGAGATCGTCGGTAATGAGGCTGTACTTGCCGCGAAAGCATGGTGGGCGTGGCTTCTTGAGCGCGCTCACCATGCATAATCGCGAAGTGTGCAGCCTCCGTAATTACTTCCTGGCGAGATCGGATGATCCATTCTATAAGGACGTCATTTCTTGTGATAAAGGACTTACCCCTCTATCCTTAGCCAACGAGCAATGGCAAGACCCGGCAGTGCAGACAATTTCCGACCGGGAGACCGTATGGAAGGAGAAGGAGCTCCACGGGAGGTTCTACAAGTCTCTACATGGGCCTTTCGTAGACACAGTAGCCTCTCTTCACTGGCTACGCTTTGGTGACCTCTTCGGGGAAACCGAGGGTTTTGTCTGTGCAATACAGGATCAGGTTATTAAGACCAACAACTATCGGAGATACATCCTAAAGGATGGCACCGTCGACATCTGTCGAGCTTGTCGCCATCCCGGTGAGTCACTTAGGCATGTCATCTCCGGTTGTTCGGCGCTTTCTAACTCTGAGTACTTGCACAGGCACAACCTAGTAGCCAGAATTCTACACCAGGAGCTCGCTCTGAAATACGGTCTCGTGGATCGGAAGTTGCCGTATTACAAGTACTTGCCGGAAGCCGTGCTCGAAAATGATCGCGCCAGGCTCTATTGGGACCGGGCCATCATCACAGACAGGACTATTCTTGCGAATAAGCCTGATATTGTGCTGATGGACCGGGCACAGTCAAGGATATTTTTGGTCGACATTACCATTCCGTGTGACGAGAACCTCGTGAAAGCCGAAACAGATAAGCAAACAAAATATCTGGACCTGGCTCACGAGGTGACCGACATGTGGGGTGGTCTGCCGACCGAAATTATTCCTGTAGTCGTCTCTGCAAACGGGCTAATCCCAGTCAGCCTCTCGGGTCATCTGAGGCGGCTGGGACTACGTGGCGGACCGCTCCAGGCTCAAATGCAGAAGGCGGTGCTCCTCGATACCGCCCGCATCGTCCGCCGGTTTCTTTCCCTTTCCCCCTAACCCTCGGCCGTTTGGTCTCCCCTGCCGAGGGCTTCCATCTGGTTGGGCTTTTATTTATTTATGTATTTTTATATTTATTTTATTTTATTGATATTTTTGTATGTTTATCTTTTCATTTTCGTTTATAATTATATATTTATACATCCCAACCAGATGAGAAAACTATATAGATACCCCACACATAATAATAATAATATTCCACAACTATCACACAACGCCATCTAGTCCCAAGCTAAGCAGAGCTTGTGTTATGGGTACTAGACAACTGATAAACATACTTATATATTTCTAAATACATAAATATTATAGATAAATTACACCCAGACACAGAACAAATGATCGTGCTCATCACACAAACATTTGTCCTGGGTGGGAATCGAACCCACGACCTCCGGCATAACAGTCAGGGTCACTAACCACTAGACCAACAGGCCTGTCGTTCAAAATCATACGCACGTAAAAAAATAACAGAAAGAAAAGTAAGTTTGTCAATAGATTAAACACTTACATCTATGGCCTTTGATGCGTTGAAGTAACGCAAATGTATTATTGATAGATACACTGCGGTCAAACGACCATACACTAACTCCATGACTGCAGTTGCTTGGTCTTATATAGTACCAGTAAGTAATAATTCTAATCTAAAGAATTTCTACAGTAGAATTGATAATAACTTTATGCGTCAACAACCTTATCTCACATTCTTCGTGTTGCGTCTTATTCAGTGTATTGATGACTCAAATACGTTTTGTATAACAGAAAAAATGCAATTTAATATTTAGAAGTCACATAATTGATCATTCCTATGTTAGTCATTGAGTAGATTGTACTGTAGTAATCTACTAATAGCAGTAATATCATGGATACACTAGATGTACAACAACATCTGAAAAAGATTCACCCCAGTCTAGAAAATAATGTTTATGCTGCTAACAGACTGCCCATGTACACCCACGTACCAACGTATATACCTAGTCAGGTCATAAGTATTGTCACACAGTAAAAACTTTTCTTTTAGAATGCTGGCCACAAAAAAGTTTATTGAATTCGAATTGTTCATGAAAATAAAACTGTATACTTTTTAGAATTTTACTCATTTTTACATATGGAGTGGACGCTTAAAAAAGACCGTGTTGCAGTTGCGATTACGCGCCAATTAAATTTTTTGATATACTGAAAAATTTGAATATAACCAAAAGATTCGTTTATCGTACCATCAAACGATACAATGAAGACTCTAGTGTAGATGACAGGTCAAGAAGTGGTCGCCCTCGATTTGTTAGGACTCCAGCAGTGATAAAAGCTGTAAAGGTGCGAATTCAAAGAAATCCCAAACGTAAGCAGAAACTGTTGGCCCTTCAGATGGGGTTAAGCAGAACCACGGCGTTAAATGAAGACTTAGGGCTTCGGGCATATCGAAGAAAAACAGGACATCGTTTGAATGCTCGTCTAATGGATCTGAGACTGAAGAGATGCCGCGCTTTGGTGAAGCGGTACGCGGGAAAAAAATATCGGGAAATTCTTTTTTCGGATAAAAAAATTTTTACCGTAGAAGAGAGCTACAACAAACAAAATGATAAGGTGTACGCACACAGTAGTGAAGAAGCGAGCAACCGTATTCCGCGTGTCCAACGAGGTCATTTTCCATCCTCGCTCATGGTATGGTTGGGAGTTTCTTATTGGGGCTTAACAGAGGTACATTTTTGTGAGAAAGGTTAAAAACGAATGCAGTTGTGTATCAAAATACAGTCCTGACGAACCTTGTGTAACCTGTTTCTCATACCATGTTCAATAACAGGCACTGGGTATTCCAACAAGATTCGGCGTCAGCTCATAGAGCGAAGAGCACACAAGACTTTTGACAGCTCCGTGGCGTAGTGGCTTAGCAATGAGTGGCTGCGCTTGGGGGTCGCGGGTTCGAATCCCGCACGGAACAAGTATTTGTACGACCTACAAGTAATTGTTCCGAGTTTGGATGTTTGTCCTTGTGAAATTTGTGTTTGTAAACTGCCCCCACGATACAGGAGAAAAACCTAGTGTGGAGGTAACGTTCTTTAAAAACAAAAAAAAAAAGACTGGCTGGCGGCGCGTGAAATCGACTTCATCCGACACAAAGACCAGTCCAGATTTGAATCCGTTAGATTACAAGATATGGTAACACTTGGAGGAAAAGGCGTGCTCAAAGCCTCATCCCAATTTCGAGTCACTCAAGACATCTTTAATTAAGGCAGCCGCCGATATGACATGGACCTCGTTCGTGGTGAGATAGACGACTGGCCGCGCAGATTGAAGGCCTGTATTCAAAATTACGGAGGTCATTTTGAATAAACTATAGTGTCATAAGAATCTATGTTTTGTTAAGTTCATTTTGGTATATAAATGGTTACATAATGAATAAACTTGTTTCAATTATTTTACATTAAACATGTGATAGAATTTATGACCTGACTAGGTAATATGCAATTTGGGTACAGATGATAAACCAGGGTCACATTGGGTAGCTTTATATATCGATACGAATGACGTCGGTGAATATTTTGATTCATATGGACGGGCACCTGTACGAAATTGTAAAAGATGGAACTGGAATGTTGATAGGACTTCAGTTTGTGGCGAATATTGCTTAATGTATTTGCTATATAAGTTTCAGGGATGTTCAATGCATAGTTTTACGAGTATATTTACAGAGAACACATTGTACAACGATATTTTAGTGGATGAGATGTTTCGCTCCTATTTTATAGATAATAAGTAATAAGATTTTGTATTTTATAAATAAAAATTTTAACAAAATTAGGTAATGTGTTTAAAAGATGGAACTGGAATGTTGATAGGACTTCAGTTTGTGGCGAATA